ATATATATTCACATATCAAAGTATATATAGATATTCACAAATATCAAAGTATATCTGTGCTATGTGCATACAAGATAGCTATATGTTTTATGAAAAAGGAATTGATGAAGAATATATTATTTTATTGCTTTTTTTCTATAAAATAGAGAGAGAAGACAAATCAATATTATGAAATGAAATAAGATCCCTCAAATTATAAAAAGCAAGTTGGAAAAAGCGCGTTACTTCCGGAAATGTCATCCATAAGACTACGTTTAACGATTGAATGATTAACATGATAAAAATGATTCTTTTATTTTTATATAAAATTTTATTATCGTCTCGTATAATCATACGAAGTGATCGACGAACCTTGTCCATGATACTGGCGGAACGATATAAACCGTAAAAATGTTCCAGGATGTAATGAAGAGTCAATTCTCCAGGTGATTTTTCGATGACGCTCAAAGGACGGACGAGTCCGGCGAAACAGGACACGTCGTTAGACTGATAAGAGATCTCCAGAGTAGAAATACCAGGTACTTGACTAGGAACGTCCAGCGCTATGTGTAACGTATTGGGAAGTCGCACTACTCGTTTCGATGATTTCAGCAATACGAGCTTGTCGTCGGCATCGCGTGTCTCTCTCGCGGGGATGCGACCCAACTGCGCTCTGCTATTATTGCCCCAGGCCAGTATTGTACCCCCTGAAAAAATGCACAACGCTTGCTATACTTTATTAGTTTTCAGTCTATTAAACGTCGCGTAATTAAAATAACAATTTCAATCACGGATTATAATTGTGCTTTTATCTTTTAAAAGTTTCAGATTAAGAATCTCATCAAACAGTTAAGAATCTTGTCTGAAAATTAATATTAAAAAGTTTACAGGAAAATCATATTTGTGTTACTAAAATTATAAAAATATTACTATTAAAATTATAAAACAAAATTTAAAAAATTTGTTAATTAAAATTAAATTTAATTATAATATTAAGATCATTTCATTCGAGATAAAATTGCTAAGTTCTTTTTGAATTTAGGATAGATAATCTAGATATTAAGAAAGATTAAAATTTAAAAAAAAATTTGTTTTTTACTAACTTGGTTGTATCGCAACTGTATAATCGTAACCACAGGCGATCCCAATGGTTTTAATCACAGGATTGGTTCTCTCCTTATTATTGTGGCCGATATTTTCCGATTTCGATGCACTGGTAACATTTCCATTGTTCTCAGATGCATTTCTATTATTTGCCGATGAATCGCTCGACTTGGCACCATTGTCCGAGTCTCGTTGATTTTGCGTTCTCTTAAAATCGTTGTGTCTAGGTGGTATTTGTGCGAAAATAGAAGCCGGATTATAATACAAGGGTGTTGGAATCGGCATTTCCTTTCTTGTACCATTGCCTAATTGACCGTCCAGATTACGGCCCCATGTGTATAAGGAACCGTCTTTCGTTATCAATGCATTATGGTGACAGCCGACTGATATCTAAATACACAAAAAATGATTATATATTATAAGTTACATCTTATTTGCTTTGCATAAAATACGCAGAATTCTCTTTTTCTAACGTTATAAGACAATATTTTCGGAAATAGCCCTAAAAAAAAAAAAATTCTAATATTTTTGGATTCTTTTCAACAAACTTGAGTAATCTGTCCTTTTATCAAACTTGTATCGACCACAGACGGCTTTAAATGCGTTTGACTCTCGTCTATCAAACCAATGTTTTTCAAATCTGCGTTTTCGGATGGTTTCTTTCGCGTTTCTACGCTAGAAGCGATCGTTTTCGTCTCCATAGTTTGCACATTGTCCTCCAAAGGTTCTTTCATTTCTTCGTTCAAGTTTATAACGCCGATTGATATTTTCTCCGATTCCTCCAAAGTTTTATTTTTTCTTTCCTCTTGTTGCTCCAGTATACGAGTCTTCTTTTGCGCTTGCGCTTGTAATCTGAGAACCTGAGGACTCGCGCCCCATACGTATAATTTATTCGTATCGCTAAGAGCAAGCTATAAACACACGAGGTACGAATGTATGAGATTGCCATTATTATTCACATCAAGTGTTACGTTACAAATATGAGATGTTAAAAAATTAATGAACGATTATGATTCTTAGAAGGATCAATCTCCGTCGTTTTTACGAGGATAAGGTCACATATATATGTATCATTCACTGACTTACATTATGAAAGTATCCGGTACTTATAAGCGTTATTCCGTCCGGCAACGATACTTTCGTCGGCACAGAACTCTTAGCGTTACTCCCACCGATTCCCAATTGACCAAGGACATTTGATCCGAAGGCGTATACGACACCATCCACGGACAATGCCAGGGTGTGCGCGTAACCGGCGCTGATGCAGCGCACAACCACGCCGAGCAGAGCCGTGACCAAGGACGGCGTGATCTTTTCGTCGGTGTTACCGTGGCCCAATTGACCGTGGACTCCCCAACCCCACGTAAATACTCTGCCGTCAGCGGTAAGCGCCACGGAGTGATATTGCCCGGCCACTGCGTCGACAATAATCTCCTGCGCCAGTGAGACGATCAATTCTGGACTCGAACACTGCAGCACCTTGCCGAGACCCAGCTGTCCAAATTGACTCGATCCCCAGGCGTAGATCCCGTTGTTGGTAACCGCCAGGGTGTGGCAATGTCCGCACGATACGCTGAAAACTTCTATCTCCATACTTCGGAAGAAACATATGGCATGAGGTGCTCCGTACCGCAAGACGCTAGAGCCAGTTCCTAATTAATAATAATATACATCAAATTAAAAAAAAAAATATTAAATTAATATGTATACACGACAGATTGAAGGAAATATAAAAAGGCTAGATGATTGAAAATTTAAGATAGAAGGAAATCGAAAGACCAATATGAATTGAACGAAAGATACAAGTACAAAGTTAATAAAGCTTTCAAACTGCCAAAAGACTGACATATAATATAAAAATGTTTCACTTTTTATTTTAAATCATATTCAATTTAAAGAGCATATAGAAATATACAATACATATAATAAAATGTATAACTTAAACAATTTCTAGAAATTTTGCAAAATGATGATCGGTATTATAAATTATTACAAAATATAATAGAAAAAATTTTTTTTTTCTTATCTGAGAGACATGTGCTTTAAATACTTAACAACTTCTTGTGAATACGCGTTTATAATTTTATACTTGTTATGTATAAATTAAAACGCTTCATAATTTTATTATTTACGTTTTTTTGCCCAAATAAAAAATGTGTGTCAAATATATACCTAGACAACCTTGCACCAAGCTTCCCCAAGTGTAGATGTTACCGTTTCTAATAAGAGCAACGTGAGAAAATCCAGCGCTCAGTGATCTTCTCTTAAAATCAATATGTAACGCCATTTCCGAGTATTCCTGCTTACAGACAAAATTATAAAATTATAATTGTAGATAGCCATGTGATAGTGATTGAATAATACGAGATTCGGCAAATGAAAAAACGAGATTATATATATGACATTCCCTCCCTTCGCAATCTAAAAAATTTTCTAGTCTTTCAAAAAATCTTTCATAATCTTTTCTATCAAAAGCATTCGAAAAATGCTAGAAAAATAGAAATGATTAATATTAGATAGAAAAATATTCGAAAATTGGATAAATAATATTTATATTACACTAATTTTATATATGCAAAATACGTGTTTTTTATTTTTATTTATGTCGGGAATTAAATATTAAAAGTTCGAAACAATGTATTAATATAACTACAACTGCAATCTCTTCGATATGTTGAAAAATGAGACGACGCATGAAGAAAAATCAACGTGTCAAAAATTATCTAAACAATATAAAAATATATTGAAAGATATGCACGATAGAAGCATTCCCGAGGAGAATTTAAAAAGAAATGTTTCGAAACACATGTAGGGAAGACGCACAGAAAAATACCGTAAAATCAATTAGTTTGTTTAAAAAAAAGAAGTAAGCTTCAAATTTTGTAATTTCTTGATGATAAAAGCTTCTCTATAACTTTTCTCGTTTCCTTTACCATATCTCGTATATATTAAAATTTACAAAATATAAATTTTTATGGAGTTATACCTTGCTCATTTCTGGCAATTGCACATCGTACAAAAGCGTAGATTTGTAATTAGAATTTAATAATTGTTTTTTATGTATAAGAGTCAATAAAATTAATATAAACGTTTCTATTATATCTTCCACAAGCGTATCATCCTGTAAAACGTATAAATAACATGATAACCAAAGACTAAATTAAAATTTATACTCTCCTACTCCTACAGCCTTGTTACTGCCATTGTAGAATGTCCTTAATAAGTACACTCTTGTATGAGATTAATCAAAGAATATACTATTCTATAGTATATTAACGACTCCGAGAATCAATTTACCAAAATTTCTTCGTTTTAGATAGTTCATAATTCTTAAGAAAGAGAAAGAAAACTATATTATTCGTACAATATTTTTAAGAAAGAGATCGATTTCAGATCAATATACATCTTATATGACAATAACTTTTAGTACTTACAATATTATCCGTAACATCTATAAAATCGCATTGACTAGATCGTAGATTACACAATACCATTTTATGGCGTGCTGTATACTGTAGCAGTTTAGGTCGTAATACTGGATTTGTTGGATCATACAATGTTACTAATCTCTGTGAAATATCAAAGTATTAAGCACACAATTGTAGTACATTTGAAAAATGTAAAGTAAAACTTTCAATTTTTTTAATATATTAAGCGATCTTTTTTTCGCTCATGTATATATTTTACAAAGTAAAATAATCGAGAATATTTTTATATTGCTTTCTTCTCTTTGATTTATTTGTTAATTTAGTTGTCAAATGGAAAGTAATATATATCTTTGTTTTCACTTTATTTATAAAATGCCTGAAAGCTATTCAAAACACAATAAATAATCATTGGCAGGGGTATCCAATAGCGAAAAATGTAATTAAAAAAAAAGAAGATAAATGGTTCACATTCGTGTATTGTATATACACAAGCAATACAAGTTTGATTTCCATACAAAATCCATTTATTTTATAAACGACGTTTATATCATAAAAATAAAATAATCTTGCATTTTGCAGATGAGACAGAGAAAAATCAGATGCAAACTTTTGTAACTTTTTATCAAAAGTTAGTACTTAAGAGTTAAGATTTTTTACCTGAAGCACGAAAATTTGAGACTCTCGCAGATTACTGCGTACAAACAACATATGGGCTCTAGCTAAATCATGATTCAATAACATTGCTTGCATCAGATCAGATTCGCTTAAACATATAAGTAAACCATCTAAAACATATACGTAAGTTCATATTACATCTCATACATTAATGATATTCACTTGGAATTTGTTTGTGAAACACATGCACGCAATCATACTTGTGCATATATATATATATATATATATATATATATATGTATGTATGTATGTATGTATGTATGTATGTATGTATGTATGTATGTATGTATGTATGTATGTATGTATGTATGTATGTATGTATGTATGTATGTATGTATGTATGTATGTATGTATGTATGTATGTATGTATGTATGTATGTATGTATGTATGTATGTATGTATGTATGTATGTATGTATGTATGTATGTATGTATGTATGTATGTATGTATGTATGTATGTATGTATGTATGTATGTATGTATGTATGTATGTATGTATGTATGTATGTATGTATGTATGTATGTATGTACGTATGTATGTATGTACGTATGTATGTATGTATACATTACATGATTTTGGACAAACGTCGTTTATGCCAAACATTTGTACTGTCTTCATGAGGATATCTAACATTTGGCTGTACAAACTTCTCTGTGTAGCTAAATGATGTAATACTTCCCATAAATAAGTTTGACCAGCTATATTAATAGCTAGCAATTCGTCGTAAAACATATTTGTGGATAAAAAGTACCTAAGGACACAAAATATAGAATTATAAACAGAGTACATATACCATACTTATTTTTCATTCATTATTTTTCATGCCGACAACTTTAACAGGATAGAAAAGTGAAAGAAAATAGAAGTTATAATGTTATTTTTTTAGAAATATATTTGCATTGTAAAATGCAACTTACAAGAATTCTTTGTAAATTGCTTTAGATTGTTCTGACCAAATCCTCAATGTCATTTCGATGAAGGCAAGTATGCATAAATTAGATAAATGTATCCTTGTTGCAGTGGGCATCTCAGTAATGACAGGTGTCAGTAAGCAGTGGGTGAGACAACTTAATAATTCGGAGGTATGACCAATCGACGCAAACTTTAACACGCTCTTCAATAATTTACACTAAAATATAAATATTGGGCAAAATTAATTCTGCTCGCGATCAATAAAGAAATATTAATCTTTTTGTGTAAAGTTTTTGACAATATAGCAGCTTCTTTTCTTTAAATAACAGATATTTTATATATAATAAGTCGCACATCGGAAATAAAGAGAATATTTAAATCTCTTAGATTAAAAAAAAAAGTTTAGATGTTTCAGAAGAATGATTCATGATGTGATACACTTATAAATTAATTTTTTACACATCTTCAAATTTTCAACAGAGATATTGTGAAGTTTTCTGTTTCCAAATCGATCCATGATTTTTTAATTAAGCCCTTATTTACCCTAGACATTTTATAAGAGGCTACTGCACGTGGGAATTCTTTGTTTGATAAAAATATATCGCCAGCATATTCCAACAATTGTTGTCCATTGAGCCCAAAAATCATTGCCAATCTTCCTGCTTTCTGCAACTCGTTTTTCTTCAATATCAGCTCCATGAAAATGGAAAAAAGTGATTTTCTACAATAAAAGCATGTAAATAATTTAATAAACACACCTAATTTTTGCATTGTTCCGTGAATATCTCTCCTATTCATCCCTCCCACCCATTATTTTACTATAATAAATTTGATAAAACTTACCTTAGAATAACTTCGTATACACAGCGATTTGTAACAATTATACATGTATCTAAATTAGGTATTTCAATCTTAATATCCTTTATATTCTTTGGTAAAGTACATTTATTCTCTAGATCTTGAGAGACTTTTCTCTGTATCACATTATCAAAATTTGTTACTTTGTAAACCGCACGTATAACTTCCTTACTGCTCTTAAAAGAAAATGTTCCGATAATAGACTCGGAATTAAATTTGCAGTCTTTATTTACATGAGTCTCGGACAATTGATCAGATATTATATATATCACATGTTGATTAATATCAGTAATGAAAAAGAATCTGTGCGTCAATAAAACAGTCTCGCAAGACTCGAATACTTTGTGCATTGATAACGGCACTACAGCCAAATTCGGACCGTGCACCTAGGATAAGAAATTAAACATGAATTAATATAAATATTAATATTATATTAGATCTATATCTAGCAATAAGAATAACAAAGAAAGATATATATGAAAATGCAAGTATAATTCTTTCTAATTGCAGATTCTTTAACTCTAATTTTAGATTAATTTTTCCTTAATATAAACCACCATCTTTTTTATAACTTTTTTAATTTTCAATATTAGGTCTCAAAAGGTAAATTAAAATTTTATTAAAATTCATATGTAAACTTATTTAAACATTAATGTTCTGTTGTCTGTTAACAATACAGAAGCTTGATTTATGCAAAGAAAAAAAATTTCGTCGATTTCAATTGCACATAACTCAAAAGCTCTATTAAAATCTCGATATTTTTGTAAAACAAAATTTGCTTGTCAATAGTCGAAGGATCCATAGTTGAAAGAAACTATAATTGACCTAGGATGATTTATATATGTATGTATGTGTGTGTGTGTGTGTGTGTATATGTAAAATGTATATAAGCTGATTATTACATCATGAAACTTTGTCTTACTGTGACATGATGAGTGCTAGGATGATAGCATGTATACAATTGCCGGCCTTCTCTGTCACATTGTGAAGCTAGAAAAGTATCTTTAGATATTGGTTCTAGGCTGGTAAAACTTAATTTGGACTCTGATGATATCTCTGAATTAACAGCAAACCCATTATGATTTTCTTTTTTATTTGAAGCATCTGTAATATTGGCATGTTTTTAATATTTAATAAACAGAATTAGACAAGCATATATACAAGTGTTCATTGTTTAAAAAAACCTTTTTATTATTTTGGTGACACTTCTCCAGCCATTCTTTAACAAAAGCAATATAAAAGTAATGACATAGCTTTTTCTTCTCTCTTGTAAATAAAAATATATATTTTTGCATTGTTCCGTGAATATCTCTCCTATTCATCCCTCCCACCCATTATTTTACTATAATAAATTTGATAAAACTTACCTTAGAATAACTTCGTATACACAGCGATTTGTAACAATTATACATGTATCTAAATTAGGTATTTCAATCTTAATATCCTTTATATTCTTTGGTAAAGTACATTTATTCTCTAGCTCTTGAGAGACTTTTCTCTGTATCACATTATCAAAATTTGTTACTTTGTAAACCGCACGTATAACTTCCTTACTGCTCTTAAAAGAAAATGTTCCGATAATAGACTCGGAATTAAATTTGCAGTCTTTATTTACATGAGTCTCGGACAATTGATCAGATATTATATATATCACATGTTGATTAATATCAGTAATGAAAAAGAATCTGTGCGTCAATAAAACAGTCTCGCAAGACTCGAATACTTTGTGCATTGATAACGGCACTACAGCCAAATTCGGACCGTGCACCTAGGATAAGAAATTAAACATGAATTAATATAAATATTAATATTATATTAGATCTATATCTAGCAATAAGAATAACAAAGAAAGATATATATGAAAATGCAAGTATAATTCTTTCTAATTGCAGATTCTTTAACTCTAATTTTAGATTAATTTTTCCTTAATATAAACCACCATCTTTTTTATAACTTTTTTAATTTTCAATATTAGGTCTCAAAAGGTAAATTAAAATTTTATTAAAATTCATATGTAAACTTATTTAAACATTAATGTTCTGTTGTCTGTTAACAATACAGAAGCTTGATTTATGCAAAGAAAAAAAATTTCGTCGATTTCAATTGCACATAACTCAAAAGCTCTATTAAAATCTCGATATTTTTGTAAAACAAAATTTGCATGTCAATAGTCGAAGGATCCATAGTTGAAAGAAACTATAATTGACCTAGGATATTCTATATATGTATGTATGTGTGTGTGTGTGTATATGTAAAATGTATATAAGCTGATTATTACATCATGAAACTTTGTCTTACTGTGACATGATGAGTGCTAGGATGATAGCATGTATACAATTGCCGGCCTTCTCTGTCACATTGTGAAGCTAGAAAAGTATCTTTAGATATTGGTTCTAGGCTGGTAAAACTTAATTTGGACTCTGATGATATCTCTGAATTAACAGCAAACCCATTATGATTTTCTTTTTTATTTGAAGCATCTGTAATATTGGCATGTTTTTAATATTTAATAAACAGAATTAGACAAGCATATATACAAGTGTTCATTGTTTAAAAAAACCTTTTTATTATTTTGGTGACACTTCTCCAGCCATTCTTTAACAAAAGCAATATAAAAGTAATGACATAGCTTTTTCTTCTCTCTTGTAAATAAATATATACTTAAAAAACGATGTATTATAAACATTTGATTTTAAAACATAAAGACTAAAAATAAAAAAAATATTTTATAAAAATAAAATATTTAAATAAAACTTAATGAGTGGAAAAAATGGCAATTAGGAGCCGGCGCAGATATGGGGCGCTTACTTATTTATTTACATCAATAATAAACCGCGAACGTTTCGGTCCTTTTTTTGGACCATCTTCAGCATAAGAAATTAAAAATTATATAAATTCAATATTAAAAGCGGAAATTCATGACAATCGTAATCGGAATGTATAAATAAATAGAAAACGAAATATTAAATAAATAAATAATAGAACTGTCATTATAGTCTAAGTAAAATTGAAAATGTCATCATTGTAAAAGTATTTAAAACAATTTTTTTGGATTTGTTCTTTTGAAAGGAAAATGAAATGTTTTTTTTCCTAATTAAGAAAAAATTAACACAAGAATATTACTTCTGGATCTTTTAAAATTTCTTCTGGTTTTTTGTATTTTTAAAATATATTCATACACTTACCATGGGATTGTGAACTTTCTCCCAATGTTTGATTTTTAGTATCAATTAATTTCTGTTTGAAAATGGCCAGTTTCTCGACAGAGAGCTGTTTAAGTTCTCGTAGTTTAGACTTGTTAGAAACAGACTCCTCCGTGTTATCATAAATAATACCATTTGAATTTACACCACAGTGAAGTTCTTTGTTTTCAAGATTGTGTAAAAGATTATGCATGTATTGTTCCAAGGATAAACGCCATTGTTGCTGTAATTTACTAGTTATCAAAAGAAATGCAGCCTCATTGTTTTCATTTTGACAAATATGTAGACTGCTTATACTTCCATTAATGTAAGTTGTACCCATCTGTTGTCCATTTGACAGATTGACAAGTATAATCGCTCCACATTCAGTTCCTATGATACCAATGTCAATAGATATTTTCGTATCTTTCCACCATGTGATAGCAGTTGGTCTAAAAATATAATAATCTATATAAGAAATTCTTTTAATATTATATAATTATAATTACATTTACATGATAAAAAAATATATATATATATGTGTGTGTATGTATATGTGATATATATAATTATTTTTGAGAGTTAAGGATACTTCATACAATGCAATTACCTAAAATGCGAGAGCTGAAGATTCACAAAAGGAATATATGTCGCGTCATCCGTCTTCCATCTTTTGTCAATGAAATAATTTTCACCGACTAGAGTTAAAGCTGGCAGTATGTACAACGAACCGTCCAAGGTTATACCTAATAACCAAATACCATTTGGATCAAAGCAAAATGTAGCGATTTGTTTATGTGGCCCTTGAAACCAAGGTATTCTCTTAATGACAGGTAAACAGGAAAGTTCTTTTTTGAAGTAAAGGATAATTTCGGCATTGCTGGTGGCCAGCGCAAGAAATAATCTTTTTCCAAGTTTGCACTGTATGCTACACTGTATCTCAGTGGTTTTAATCAAACATTGCAGTTTAAATAAATTTTCACTCATCACCATAGTATTAGGAGCCACCATTATGTGCGCGAATATAAATGTTCTCTCTGAAATATTAAAAACATTATATATAACTGTCATTTATAATATAATATAATGTAAATTTGATAATAACTTTTATATCACATAAATAAATAACAATATTGTTATTAAATACTTTGAATGTTTATATTGCCAAGCTTATTTGTCAAACGATTTTTTAAAGACAATAATTTACATAATTTAATTTAGTATGTGTTGTAATATATATATTATTAAAACTATTATATCGTTATTATTTATTTAATGTCAGGAACTTAGAGAGGCCATGTATTTTACGTCTAATGCATTTATATATTGCTTTATTACTGTTGATTACTATTTTTCTTCTTCTTATATTTTATATCATCTGTGATTGGGTTGACAGCTATGTATCAGATTACTTTTTACGCGCATGCGCGAATAAATAGATATCGGTGAACTCTATAATGGAAATGAGCCTTTCCTTTTTACTTTTTAACAATATTATTAAATACTTGAATAAAAATTTTCAGCTTAAAAAAAATTTTTTTTAAAGTTATGTGAATATTTACGGATTTATATTTTCATGCACGATGTGCATGAAAACTCGGGTTATGTTCGACGGATTGACTTCAAATTTTGCATGCAAGTTTCTAATAAGATATGGTGATTGGCTTAAACTTTAAACAATGCAGAATTTTTTTTGTAAATATTTGTGAAAAATATATAATGTAGTTCGCGGACTTCCGTTTCCGGTAACGTAGAGTGTGACACGCAGTGATAGAGAGAAGGCGTTTGACGGCGTAAGGAGTGTGAAAGTGAGGAGTGAGTGAGGAGAAAGTGAAATAGAGTGAGAGCGGAGGTGCGAGAGAGTGGAGGAAAGAGAAGGGCACAGGGAGTGATAGAGAATAAGGGTCTTCTTCTTCTTTACTTTTTGGCAAGGAACAGACTTCGTTCGCTGTTCATGCTGCCAGATTATCGTCCTTCTTCAGTTCTCCGAGGGAGGGAGAGCGCACCCGCGCGCAGGTGTCAAGTCACCGTACGTCAAATCGAAACGTCATTCTTTCGTAGGAAGGAAACAATGGATGCAATTATCTCGTAGGAAGGTTCTTTCAGGAGATCAAACACATCATATGGTGGGGGAGATCCCAGACTCCGTTGAATAGACCGAAGGAGCGGACCCCGATGCCACCCGAGCAGCGGGCAATGCCAGAGAGCGTGATTAATATCTTGCTGCGGAGCTCCACAGTCACAGGCGGGGGACCCTATGATACCGCACCTGTACAAACTGTAATTTAAGTTGTAATGGTTAGAGCGAATGCGGCTGATTGTTACTATTTCCGTTCTATTTAGTTTAGACTTAGCAAACCAAGGATCAGGCAAGAAAGCAGGATGCAGCCGGGTGACACCCGTTTAGACACCGCACGATTGGACACCGCACAATTGGACACGCTCACCGCACGATTGGACACTGCACGATTGCGCATCGCCAATGCTCATATGTCGTAAAGCTCGTATCAGACTACGGATTAAAAATTGAAGATTAAAGATTAAAGATTAAAGATTGGAATTTGACTAATCAGAACAAAAGGGACTAAAATTTTTTTATTCTGATTGGACATATTTCAATCTTCAATCTTTAATCTCAATCTTCAATGCGTAGTTTGATACGAGCTTTAAGATGCTATGTGGCCATTTCATTGGTTCAATGAGATCTTAAGACGACACAAGACCACACTTAAGCCCGTATCAGACTACGCATTGAAGATTTAAGATTAAAGATTGGAATTTGACTAATCAGAACAAAAGAAACTAAAATTTCTGTATCCTGATTGATCAAATTTCAATCTTGAATTTTCAATCTCAATATTATATGCGTAGTCTGAGTGCCAGTCTACAATAGATGATTTAAGCCCTAAGCCTTAAGAAATTGACTAATCACAGTCGAGTATTCTCGTCATACTTGATTGTGATTGGTCAATTTCTTAAGGCTTAGGGCTTAAATCACCTATTGTAGACCGGCACTGATACGTTCTTTAAAGACCGTATCAAACTACGCATTAAAAATTGAGGATTGAAGACTAAAGATTGGAATTTGACTAATCAAAACAAAAAGGACTAAAATTTCTTTATTCTGATTGGTCAAATTTCAATCTTGAATCTTGAATTTCAATATTCAATGCATAGTCTGTAGTACCATGTTTAGATTTAATTTTTATGATATACTGATAAATATCAATGGTCGCGTTTAACAGAGAAAGCGCTCACTTAAGATTGTATTAAGGGCGTATTACATTACGGATTGTGGGCGATTGGGATTACGGTTGAAAGTCACAAATTGACCAATGACAGTCGATTATTCCGAGAATATTCGATTGATCAATTTGCTTACGACTAACGACATACGGTTTATTGTAGAACGGGCCTTATTATAAATTTTTAAGAGCCGAATTGCAAAATCTGGCTGTATATGTAAAATTATTAGTTATACAAAAAAACATTTTGAATGCGGTAGTAAACGTTATCAATCAATCACCAAACGAATGGTAAAAAAAAATTCCCAGCAGTCAAAATGAGGGGGGGGGGAGGGTCTAAGAAAAGGTTAAGAATTTGTTTACGATTTTTTTTTTAGATAAACGGGAAACTACCAAACGTTTTGGATGCGATACCAAACATTAGCAATCAACCATTGAACGATCGGTAAAAAAAAATTTCCAAAAGTCAAAGTGAGGGGGCTAAAAAAGGTCAAAAATTTGTTTACGATTTTGTCAAAGAACGGGAAACTACCAAACTTTTTTAATGCGATACCAAACATTACCAGTCAACCACCAATCGATTGATAACAAGAAAATTCCCTAAAGTTACAGTGGGGGGGCTAACTTTGGGAAGGTCTTAAAACCGTACTTAAGATGATCTTAAATATAAGAACGGACTATGAATACTGGCCCTAGATTATCAGAGAGGCGCCAACTTGTTCCACTTTCTGATTGGTCGATTAAAATAACCGCCATGTTAGAATACAAACGTCACACGTACAACCTGACAGCTGTCAATCAAATGTGTTATATTAATATTAAAAGTTTAAGGGCGTTTTCCAGCAAGGTACACAGACGACACAGTGTACTACACATTATCACGCGATTGGCTATAAGATATAATAAAAATGAAATTACTTTTTATTTTTAATTTTTTTTTGTATTGCATCCACAAAACTCACGAAACTGCTGTAAAACTGTGCATAACCTATGTATCATAACATTATTTTGTTTATATTTATCGTCGCGTTGCTATCGGTTGCTATGGTGATTTTGTAAGATGGCGGAAACTTGGTACTGCGCAGAATGCTTAGAACATATATAAATGGAAGGGGAATAGCAGGCTGAAAAGTGTCGGAAGAAAGTGAGAAAGAAAATCGTAGTTGCCTCTTTCTTGTGAGTAACTACACATACAAGCATCGTATCTGTAGATATACACCGTCTAAAAAGACATCACAGATGTAAAACAAAGCGCTAAGTATATCTTTCTCCAGCCAAAATAGTCTTTTACAAAAATTAATCGCCATCAAAAATATCTTCTCAAAAATTATATTTATTTTACAAAAATTTATCGCCACCAAAAATATTATCTTCTCAATAATTATATTTATAAATTACATTTTATTTGTATTAATAACACAGGAAAACAACTTTAAAAATTAGCATAAAAAAGAAGTGAAATCAAAAAATCACGCTAAGTAAATTTAGGAAAATATAATGCATAATCTTCAGTTGAATTGCTTTCTATAATAAGAGTAGATCTATTTAATGTAAAATGCAAAAAATATTAAAATTGTGAAATTTTGCATTTTTTTTATCTATTTAACATTGCTTCCTTTTCTTTACGTTCATATTTCCTAAATAGTAATTAGTTTTTAACTTCCTATAATTGTTCAACAATATATTTGCCATAGATTTTAAAATATCCAGTACAATTTTTGCGTGAGTATAACCACAAATACATGTCTCATTGAATATGTTGGAAGTTAAATGATTTCTGTTTAAAGTTTCTGTAACTGATTTAATTAGTAACTGCCGTTGATGTGTAACACTCAAAAAAGCATTTTCATACAAATTTGAAATTAAACATTGCATAATACCGTATATATTGTTGCGCCCGCGCGTCGACTTCGATAATACTCGAACACGCGCGACACAACCGGCACTCGCGTACCACGATATAAATAAAGAACGCTTATTAAAAAGAACAAGAGGAACTTTAATAACAGCAAGAACACAGAACACAAAGCACAGAACAATAGTCTCGTAATCCATCAAACCGTCCGCTCGGAATCGCATCCGTCGCGAGACTCCAAGATGGCCGATCTCACTCAAAATGTCCACCGTTGTTAAACAACAACCCTTAGCAACGTGTTTTGAGATGATCCCTTAGAGACGGGAGCAACTTCAGGATTAACTACCACAGACGACTCGCAGAGACGAAGTACACAGTCTACTCTTATCATGGAAAGCAATTCAACTGAATATTATGCATTATATTTTCCTAAATTTACTTAACGTGATTTTTTGATTTCACTTCTTTTTTATGCTAATTTTTAAAGTCTCCGCGTTTTCGTAATGAGTGATTGCGCGGTCGCTCGGGCTTCGCGCGTGGCTCGCGTTGTCAGCGCTTCGCTCGGTCAACGTTCGTAACGTGATCTGTATTCGCGTTACACGTTGAGCAATGTCTTATCGTATAAAATAATATATCTTTAAAATAATATGTATCTAGTGATTTGTATATAGCCTTTTCGGGCTATAACAGAAGGTATTTTTGATGGCGATTAATTTTTGTAAAGGACTATTTTGGCTGGAGAAAGATATACTTAGCGCTTTTTTTTTACATCTGTGATGTCTTTTTAGACGGATTCCACATATTGTTGCAAAGTTTATTTTAAAATATTAATCACATCAATATATTAGGTTAAACGGAAAGTTCGTGCCGTTTTTTGCTAACAGATGAAGACCGAAAAAACGGCACAAACTTTCCGTTCAACCCAATATTAAAAAAATATATACGTGCGTGCATGCGTGCGCGCGTGCGTGCGTGCAACTATCATCATGTTTTTTAATAATTGCAATAATACTTTTGTTCTCACTTTTTCTCTTTGTTTTTTCATATGTTTTGCATATTTGTTAATATTTATATTTTATATTGTAATAATAAATAAATGCTATTATGTTGTATTGTAACGATGCACTCCCCATCGTTACCCGGTACGTAGACCAGCCGGAAGTCTGCCGCCCGGGCAGAGGCGCTTAGCGCCCTTTTTTAATACTTCACATTACCAAACAACCGTACGGCCGTTATACGGTCGCCGTTACGGAAAGCTCCAGAAACCGAGCACAGCCGAGTGCTGCCGGAAAAGCCCGAGCGTCACCCGCCAAAACACCGCGTCGTTTCGCCCAGGGGAAACGACGCGTTTACCGTATTAATTAACCGCCGAAAACAACGCCGTTATCGCGTTATCCCCACCCGGGGGCGAACGACGCGATTACCGTTAGACGCTCGGGTATATAACGGCAGCATTTTTACATCCTGGCACCAGACCGGTACCTGATCCAGCTCGAGCAGTAAGCACGAGATATTCCAAGACCGA